GCTTGAGGAGCAACTATCATCACAAGTGACAGGCCTACAAAATGCTTTTTTGCTGAAAGAAAAGGAATTCAACAATTCCACTCGAGTGCTAAAGGAAATCATTAGAAGCAGGGATGAACAACTAGTTAAGCAACAAGAAGGCAACATGGAACTACTGAAGAAAAGAGAAGCTGAAATGAGGAAAGAATATGAATCAAAGCTTCAGACTCTAACAAAAAATTATGAGGAGCAACTTTCTAAGACACGAAAAGAATGTGAGGCCAGACTATTAGAAATAATAAAGGAGTTTACAGTGAAATCAAGTGAAGCACTTGAAAACACTGTTGTATCAAAACATGAAGAATGTGTAGAAGAAATGAAGATGAGTGCAATGGAATCAAGTGAACCATTTCAAAGCACAGTTGTATCAAAACATGAAGAATGTGAGTCCACAGCATTAGAAGAAATGGAGAATGAAGACAAGTATAAAATGGAATCAAGTGAAGCACTTGAAAGTGCAGATGCATCTAAACATGAAATATCATTATCATCATTATCATCATTATCATCATCTTTGCAGTCTCCATTAGCTAACATTCCTTCATATGAAGTACAAAAGCAAATGATCCAACCTCTTTTGACACAACGTCTGAAGAAAGGAGACAAATGGTTAGAACAAATATGTTAGTAACTAATAATTATCAATTATTATTAATAGGTATCTTGTTGATCAAAAGTGGTTTAAGCAGTGGAAGGAATACACTGGATTCGATTCATGGGATCAACACACTGCAGGTGAACCAAGTGCTCATCCAGGACCAATTGATAACAACGATTTGTTTAAAGGTACATGTATTATATGCCCAAGAAATTAAACTGTTGATAGACATTTTGACAAAAACAAGGAATTGTATCACACAATTAACCTGTTATTTTGTGGCCTTCTTTTATGTTGATTGTAGTTTTAGGCATAAGAAAGAAAATTTAACATTATATACAGTTTATTCTATTTTATCAGCTGTCCACAAAATTGAAAGCCACAAATTGCATTGGAAAATTGCATAGCATTGGTCTGTGTATTATATTTATGATTGGCTCAAGTTATGAAAATTGTTAAATTAACCCACTATACTATTACTATGTACTAAAATGAAAAATGCTTTTTTCTGATGTACATAATAATTCATAGACAATGTATCTGAAAGACTAAATCATCATCTAATTGAAGAGCTACACTATTCATTACTACCTGAGCCTGCATGGAATCTTTTACTGAGTTGGTATGGACTATCAGTAGGATCAAGGCCTATTATTAGGTATAAATTATATATTATTGGATGTTACTGTTTTATTTGTTTATTATTAGAAATCTAATAGAGTTTGGATCATATGCTAAGCACTTGAAGGTTGAAATTTACTTGATTAATTTAAAATTATGCGTAGACCCTAACACTAATAATATTAAAACAGGTTCATTTAGTCGAATAGATACAATCAGTAAGTTATAATTATACATACTGTTAATGCACTGTGTCTATAGGTCGAGTATTGACAGTAATAAAGCAACAGTTCAATATTCCTGATACTACTGAATGTAGACTGTGGAAACGTTACATGATAAATGATTATGAATTATTAACTAATCTTCAACAAACAGTATCAGATGCTGGTATATATGAAGGACAAGTCAGTTAATTTAATTATGTGTAATTATAAATCATAGTTACTATGTAGATGATATTACTGGAAATAAAAAATCCACATGGTACTTGGTCAAGAATTGTGCAATATTCAGCTACTCAGACTTTCTCAAGTTTATATTATAGAATTAGTTCCTTAGATAATTTGGACATCCTTTGAATTTTAAATTTTACATATTTTTGTGGTTTTGAGATTAATTGATAGTTCTGTTAGTAACATAAGATCTATACAATAAAGTCACATATATAATAACAGTTAGTAGTACAAGTCCATCATCAATCAAACCAATGAGACCAATAGCTGATTCTGGGAGCAGATCAAAAGGAATGAACAAATACAATAGCAACAGTAATAGAACTGCTAAAATATGTAATCTGTGAATACATAAAAATTAGAAAATGAATTTTAGCTTTTTTCTTTTTTGCTTAGAGACACAAATTTCTTGTGCTAGAATTACTTCACATATGCTCTCTCTGTTGACCAATGCTTGTCCATGGAATTATACCACTAGTATAGTAGCCACTAGCTGTCACCTGCTAGCTCACCACCATCTCAGGGTAGTGGTCTGTTGACCAGTAGTACTGTTGAAATGGCGAGTGCATTTAAAAATAGTCAAATGATGACAATGGGTCATTGCTATTTCCTGTTAACAAAGTGAGTGCTCTGTAGCTATCATAACCTCATTATTATTATTTTATTATTATTTTTGTTATTTTATTATTATTATTTTTTATTATTAGACCCAATACAATTTTGCCAAAATGACTAGGAGAGAATTCTTCATTTTTATAATTTTTTCTGATACACATGTACTCAGTTATGTTGTGTAGCAAGCTTGAGCCAAATAATTTTGCCAAAAATTACTAGGAAAGATTCTTCATTTTAATATTTTTTATACATGTATGTTCTTATGCTGTGTAACAAATTTAAGCTGATTCTAATCAAAATTAGATTTTTTATGATTTTTAAAGTTGCTGTAACCATTCCCCAGCCAAGGGAAACCCTGCATATGGTGTAATGTACCCCTTAGTGGTCTACACTTCCTGTTGTTAGTCTATCTATTATAGACACAAAATGGACAGAGTTAAACTTCAGCCCTTACTTTTGCCTGATTTAGAGGAGACTATGAATGAGTTAGGTCGTGGAGCTTATGGTGTTGTTACTGAAGTAATAGTTAGTGGAACAACCTGTGCTGCTAAGAAGCTTCACAATATTATTGTACAGGTAAAGGGAATTTGTATTATACTTATAAATTTCATCTAAATCATTTCTGTAGGATTACACTTTGAGTAGATTTAGTGATGAGGTACTTCTTCACAGTCATCAAAGGCATCCTAACATTGTCCAGTTAATTGGTGTCTATTATCCTCCTCGTTCACAATTACCAATGTTAGTAATGGAGTATCTTCCTTTATCACTCACACAATGTCTGGAGAGAGAAGAGCTACCACTTCAAATGAAGTATTCTATTCTTCTTGATGTTGCTAAGGGTTTGTGTTATCTTCATGGTAAACGTCCTCCTATTGTACATCGTGACCTCACTGCTAATAACGTGTTACTCACCTCTTCATACTCAGCTAAGATATCAGATCTAGGAGTATCAAGATTAGCTGATACCTTTAAAAAGCACCATCTCACCACAGTACCTGGTAATGCTATGGTAATGTCACCAGAAGCTCTTAATCATAATCCGGTATATGATCACAAGTTAGATGTATTCTCTTATGGTTGTCTCATTCTTCATGTACTTACTGGTCAATTGCCTCAACCCACGGACCAGTTTGTACCTGAACGAAGAAGGAGGGGTTCCTTTAAAAGAGTATCCGAATGGGATAGAAGATCAAGCTACATTGAAAATATACCAAAAGAGAATGAGCTCCTTCCTTTAGCTAAGCAATGTCTCACTGATGCTGCTAGCAAGAGACCAGAAATGATCAGCTCTTA